TGTGTGTGTGTGTGTGTGTGTGTGTGTGTGTGTGTGTGTGTGTGTGTGTGTCATGTGCTGCGTGAAAGACCTGTTGTTGATAATTGGTTGATTAATTAGTTGGGTGATTGGTTGTTTGGATATTGGATAGTTAGTTATTTGATTGGTTGACCTATGCCTGTGTTCTCTCTCCTTGTTCCGAGGGTTCTCTCTTGGCTTAAAAAATGCTTTCTATTTTGTAACTGGATTGTTCAATGCTCCATCCAACAGTTAGATTATTTAAGGGGTAGGACATCCGAATGTAACGTCCATATCTTTCAATTCCCTTTATTGTTTGATTTTCGCTTGTTTTTGGACCTTTGTTTCCATAGTGTCTCTTAACTGTTGAGAGAATTTTCACAAAACCACTAGATCTAGTACTTATTACCATCTACAACACCGTTAGCAAAACTTTCCGTGCAGTATTTTTGTTGTTGTTCTTGCTGTTGTTGTGTTTTTGCGTTTTTTCCGTAGTGTCTCTTAAAGTCATATTGCTGAGAGCATTTTCTTAACCCTATCCGTACGCCCTGGGGTCATTGTGTACCCCCGGGGTTGTATTGTTTCACTTTTTAGAATACTTCTAGTATAAAGATCTCTTTGAAACTTTCAGTATTTCTCAAAAAATCATTTTGACAGGCTGCTTTGCAAAGCGTACGGATCGGATTAACGAATAAATTTCCTCTTTGGAAAGTGGTAGCACAGAGTTCCCCACTTCGTATGGGTACGATAGTAAAACACGACGTACGGATAGGGGTAAGACAACTAGTACTAGTACGTATTACCAAATTCGTACACAATATGACCCTCAACAACAACAACACCGTTAGCACCAAACGATCAGAGAGACAAAGTGGGTGGTTGGTGGGTGCTCTGGTGTGGTTTGCTTCTTCTTTCCTATCAAACATCTATCGTCCTTATCTCCCCTTCTTCTTTTTTACGTTTGTTACTCTCTTGTAACTCCTCTTATAATCTGGCGCTCATATGACCTTATGCAGTTGCGAGCGCCGTAAAACCTCTACCAAAACTAAACTAAAGAGAGACAAAACACGCGTACGCTCAGACGGTTATGCCATTTACGCTGACTGAGCCATCCTTTACCGTCAATCAATAATTTACGCTTTGTTAATTAACGGGCCCGTAAGGCGATAGACTGACGTAACAACCGCGGTTCTGTCAATGCGCTTTCCGTTGTGCTGGCGGCGGCCATGTTGCAACCGCGCTCTTGATTTAATTACGGGCGTCCACGTTCCCTCCGCTTTGTGGCGAGGAATCTAAGGAACTCGCCGGATATTACTTACGGGGCAAAGGTCTAGAGGTCTGTTAGTTGTGGGCGGTCGAATTGGCGGGTGCTCTGGTTTGATTTGCTGCATCTTTCCTTTCAAGCATCTATCGTTATGTCTCTAGATGTTACCTGGCACATTGAAGCGACGCTATTCGATTGCTATCAATTTCTAGCAAACACCTATCACCCTTATCTCTCTTTCCTCTTTTCTGTTCTTTACATGTTACTCTCTAGAACGCCTTTTAATCCCAATAATATTGCGTGTGCCTTAAAACAATTACTAAAGCTAAAAAATGAGTTGTCTTCTTCATAATTAATT